GTATTTAACGTAGACGTACCAGGGATGTGTTGATGTGTGTATGTGCACGTATTTGTGTGCGTGTTTGTGGCAAATTTTACTTGTTCTAGGTTTATGCTCTTCTTATCTATAGTCAGCTGCTAACACTATTGCATTTCTATTTGGGAAAATATGATGTCAACATCAGTGCTAATCAGTACCAATTTTTATGCTCATACTGAAGAACGGGTCCTCTAAAAACTGAATGCTGCTCTTTCAGTTTTCTAGGAGAGAAAAATGGCTCTAAGAAATGTTTTTAGATCTGGACATGTTGGAAACAGGACATTCATCTGTACCTTCAGTGAAGAGGACACATTTTTTTTTTCTTTTAGGGAAATATTTATTACACAAATATATTTACATGAAGGTATATGAGCACAGGATGTCTTTCTCATGTACTCAGCTGTAGTCCAGAAAAAACCATCAGTATCACTAGTTGTAAATGAATCTCAAGGCACCTTTGTCTTATAATCATTTCCTGTGTTGTCTTGGTTAGCAAAGGCTAGGAAAACTTGGTCCAGGGTGATCTGACTGATGGAATAGTCTTCTAAATTGAATTGTTCCTTTGCTTTCTCCAAAATGCCAAACATCTTAAACAACAACAAAAGCATTCAGTTTGCCACCGAAGTCTCTCTCTGGCTCTCAGAGAAGTTTCTCCCTCTCCCTTCCCCAGTGTCTGTCAAGTACATTAAGTTATTGAAAAAGACACACAGATAGGCAAAACCAGAAAGCAGAAGAAACAGGCAATCGAGAAATGGAGAAGGTAGTTTTCTGTCTCCATTCTTTTGTTGGACATGAACTAATCATAGAACTTGAGGGTAGTAATCAAAGACATTTAAACTCTTAGAAATTTGTGGAGGAACGTAAATACTCCACTGTTTCACAATGTCAGGCAAAGTTCCACTATCTGGATCCTAAGTACCCCCATTGTTAGTGCTCCCTTCACATGCACTGGTAGAAGAACACAGTTTCTGATCACCTTTCCCCAGCTTTTGTCCTTGCTGGGAATGTAGTAATTAAGGATCCCTTGATTCTCTTGCTTCAAGTCACTGCCTAAGATGGAAAAATAGGACCGGTGAGTAATCTTAAAGATTTCTTTTAAAATTATCAAAATCATGCTGTATCTGCTTAATGTATTGTATGAAAGTAAATTGTTAGGGTTAACAGAGAAGGAGCTGTGACCCCCACACCCCTATTCTCTTTGATATACATATATGGTAAATATTTTCAAAACCTTTAGAACTGATTAAATAATCTTATTGTGGGGATTTGACAGCAATTATTGAGGCTTTTAAGCTCAGTGAATTGTCAACTCTTGTGCCCAGTGTAAAAGTTTGAGCTTTTAAAATACTAATATATTTATTCCTAAACATGGTGCTAAGTGTTGATAGTGAGGATTTTTTCTGGGAGTATGTGTTTGAGGGCACAGTTTTGAGAGAGGAGAAGAACAAGCGTGATGTTTGGGATGAGAATGACCCCCATAGGTTCATATATTTGAATGTTTGCTTCCTGGTTGGTTAGTTGGTGGTACTGTCTGAGAAGGATTAAGTGGTATGGCCTTGTTGGAGGAGGTATGTCACAAAGGTGGGCTTGGATGTTTTGAAAGATCATACTATGCCCAGGTAATCTCAGTCTCTCTCTCTCTCTCTCTCTCTCTCTCTCTCTAACTCTGTCTCTCTCTCTCTTTTTCTCTCTCTCCCTATGTCCATCCATCTGTCTGTCCATCTGTCTCATGCTTGTGGATCAGGATGTAAAGCTCTCAGTTACTGATTTGGAACCATGTGTGCCTACCTGCTGCCATATTCCCTGCCATGGTGGTCGTGGACACCAATGTTTTAAATGTAAACTCAAGCCAGTCGGTGGTGGCACACACCTTTAATCCCAGCACTTGGAAGACCAAGGCAGGCATCTCTGAGTTTGAGGCCAGCCTTGTCTACAGGGTTTTGTATAGAGTTCCAGGACAGACAGGGCTACACAGAGAGAGAGAGAGAGAGAGAGAGAGAGAGAGAGAGAGAGAGAGAGAAAGAGAGAGAGAGAGAGAGAGAGAGAGAGAAGAAAGAGAAAAGAAAGTAAGACACTATTAAATACTTTCTTTTAGAAATTGTCTTGCTCATGGTGTTTTGTCATGGCTCATAACTATTGTCTTTCCCATAATTACACCATATCCTTCCATGTGTAAGAAGAGATACACAAAAATAACCAGTCATGCTACTATGATCTTGGTGTGTTTGTACAGATAATATTTTAAGAGCACAACTAGTTGAAAATGCATTCACAATTAACCTATGAAAATTTGTAAATCATTACAACTTCCAAATTAAGCTGGATTGAAAATGTTTTAAAGAAAAATCACATGTTTGAAATAGGTATAGATTTTGTTACATTAATCTTTTTTTTTTACATTTTTATTATATATTTTTATTCATTTTTCATCCTTGTTTAGCTGTATCCCTCTTCCCCTTCCAGACCCACCCCCTTCCCTTTTCTGCTCCCTCCCCTTTTCCTCAGCTCATCAAGTTGCATCAGGACTTAGCATGTCCTCCTCTTCTGTGGCGTGGCAAGGCAGCCCCCCACCCAGGGCGAAGTGATCTGAAAGCTAGCAAGTGAGTCTGTGTCTGATGCAGTCCCCATTCCCTTACTAGGGAACCCACGTGAAGCCTAAGCTGCCCATCTGCTACATCTTTGTAGGGGGTCTAGGTTCATTTCATACATGGTCCTTAGTTGATGCTTCAGTCTCAGCAAACCCCTCTGGGCCCTGGTTAGTTGGCTCTGTTGTTCTTCTTGTAAAGCTCCTGTCACCTCCAGGTCCTTTTCTCTTTCCTCACAGTTTTCCACAAGATTCCCTACATATCGCTCAATGTTTGGCTGTGAGTCTTAGCATCTGTTTTGAGGCGCTGCTGGGTAGAGCCTCTCAGATATGTGGAGGACTCAAGCAGAGACTCCTAGTAGCAGAGGCCATAGATACTGAAGAAGACACCCTTCAAATAGACTAGTCTCCTATCAGAGGGTAGAAACACCCACCCACCCAGAAAAACTTTGACCCAAAATTTACCCTGTGTACAAGATGTGTAGGGATAAAGATAGAGCAAATAGATCAGAGATTGAGGGAATATCCAACCAATGCCTGGCCCAACCAAAGACCCAACCTATTGGAGAATGCCAACCCCTGACACTATGAGTGATACTCTGCTAAGCCTGCAGACAGGAGCCTGACAGTGTTAAATTAATCTTAACACATGCATTGTTATGATAATCATGTAGAGGTCTTTTGTTGTGGCATATTTAAAAATATAAAACATAATAAATGATTCAAAACAAGTACTGATAAAAACACCCCATCTAGGTCAAGTAATGCTTATTCATTTTCAAGTACAATGTCCCAGCTTCTACGCCCCATAAAAAAAATTTTAAAAAAAGCAATATCTCCAATACTGAAGCCATTTCCATTTTTTTCGGTTCACTTTCTTACTATTTAAATTAATGTAACAATTGATGTAGTAATAAAGAATGTATTCATGTGGAAGGACTAAATTGAGTTAAGAATACAGTATCTCTTGGGGCTAGAGACTGCCCCAATGGTTAGAAGCAGTTGATTTTGCAGAAGATCTGGGCGCATATTTCAGGACTGACAGGACAGCTCACAACCATCCATAACTTCAGCTCCAGGGATCTGACAATCTCTTCTGAACTCTGTGAGCACCAAGCACATGTCTGGTATGATAGACATACATGTGAATAAAACAGTCATATATAGAGAATTTAATAAATCTAAAAAAAACCCAATATCTCAAATAATTACCGTCACGTTTATGACAGATTATTAAGAGTATAATATATTAACTACAGTCATCACACTGTATAATCTATCTAAGAATGCCCCTCCATTGGCTCATATATTACAATGTTTAGTCATCAGGGAGCAGCATTGTTTGACAAGGATTAGGAGGTGTGGCTTTGTTGGAGGAAGTTTCTCACTGGGGGTGAGCTTTGAGGTTTCAAAAGCCCAGCCTCTCTCTCCCTCCCTCCCTCCCTCTCTTTCTCCCAGACTGTGGATCTGAATGCAGCTCTTAGCTACTTCTCTAGCACCATGCTTGCCTGCTACCATGCTCCTTGCCATCATGATAAGAGACTAAACCTCTGACTAAGCAAACCCCAATTAAACGCTTTCTTTTATGTGAGTTGCCTTGGTCATGGACACAGAAAGAGAACAGTGTATCCTTTGCCTAAAATCTCTCTAACTCCACCCCACCATAGCACCTAGTAACTACCAGCCAGCTCCACTTCTGTGCGACTCCCTTAGATTCAACATCTGGTCAAGACCATATGGCATTTGTCTTTTTAGACATGGCCTATTTCATGGAATAGATGCCATCTGGCTTCATTCATGTTGCCATAAATGACGAAGTCTCCTTTGTTTCAAGGCTAGTTTCACCACTGTGTGCATGCATGCTAGCTCCCATATGTGTATCCTACTTTCCTTTTCACTCTTCCTCAACAGATCCTCAAGTCATTTTCTTTCTTGGCTACTGTGAGTAATGCTGCAGTAAACACGAACGTGCATGGATCAGTTGGACATAGTTTTTGGGTTTTTATATATATATATATAATCAGCATGAGGTTGATAGGGCATAGGCCAGTGCTGTTTTTAATTTTTTAAGAAATTTCCATTTTTTATACTGGCTATACCAATTTATACTCTACCTTCTTGCTACTGATTCCAAAAAAAGAAAAGCTTTCGACTTCTGTCTTAGTCAGTGTTCTATTGCTGTGAAGAGACACCATGACCAAGGCAACTCACATAAAAGAAACCATTTAATTTGGGGCTCACCATTTTGGAGGGTAGTAGAATCCTTGACATGGCGGGAGGCAGACAGGTGTGTTGCAAGAGCAGAAGCTGAGAGCTTTACACCCTGATCTGCAGGCAGCTGGCAGAGAGAGGGTAACTGGGAATGGTATGGACTTTTTGAAACCTCAAAACTTACACCCAACAAGGCCTCACCTCCCAATCCTTCCCAAGTAATCCCACCAATTGGGAAACAAGTACTCAAACATAAGACCAGCCCCTATGGCCCTACGGAGACTATTCTCAGTCAAACCACCACAGCTTCATACTACAGAACTTGATGTTAGTTGTGGATTTGTGGCATAAGGTATTTTAGTTCTGGTAGGAGAATTCCTGTGGTACCCTGTAACCAGCATTTTGCTACTTTGTGGGTTCTTCTTTTTTTTTTTTTCTACCTTCTCCACTCCCTTTTTTTTCTACCCTTTCAACCCCATAACAGTAGACAGGAGAGAAAAAAGCATAGAGAGGCCAGGAGGTAATATTACCGTTAGACGGCTTCCTGCTAATTAATGGCAATGAGCTCCTTGGGGCAAGTTTGATCCTTGTCATCAGGATATCTAATTTCTTCTTGTTGTTTCTTCTTTGAGCATGACAACTTAACAAAGCACAACCAACAACGCACCCCACCAGTTGGAGCCCTAGCATATATATACCCTCTGAAAAGTCCCCCGAATTTCAAATGTCAATCACAGAAACTGTCTGCAGCTGGCCAGATCTTGCCTCTGTAAGAGCATAATTATAGTCAGCTGCTACAAAGCAGCTCCATATCCTACACCTGGGATTACAACAAAAACATATTCTTATGTTTCTGTTTTTAAAAGAAACCAAACCTCCAAAATTCTCACGACAGCATCCAATCTTTTGAAAATTTTTAAAATCACAAAATGTTGAATTTTGACTAAAGCTTTTTCTGCTTCCATCAAGAAGAGTGTATACATTAGTCATTTGCTATGCTAATGTGGTAGCACTTTTATACGTTTGCATACATGAAGTTATCCTTTATCCCATCTGGTGACGGTGAATAATTATTTCTGTGTGATTTTTTTCTGTTGTTGTTTTTGTTTTTTCAAGACAGAGTTACCCTGTGTAGCCTTGACTCTCCTAGGACTTGCTCTGTAGCCCAGGCTGTCCTCAAACTCAAGAGATGCAGAGTGCTGAGATTAAAGGCATGTGCAGCAAACACCTGGCTTTCATGTGCTCTGGAATGAACTTTGCTAGTATTTTGCTACAGATTTGTTTGCTGTGCTTAGTGGAGACATGGGTCTGTAATTTTTCTGGTTGTCTCCATGACTAGTTTTGGCATCCAATTTGAAAGCATTCTCTTTTCCTGCAACTTCCTGGGAAGAATTAAAGAAGGCTCTGTGCTTCCCTGTGTCCACTTCCCCCTGGGGATAGCAGGCCCTTCTGCACCAAGCTGAACGGGAGGGAGGGAGGCTTAGCTGGGCACCAGTGACTGCAGTGCAGGTCTCAGCCAGAGGTGAGCATGCAGCAAGTAAATACAGCTTCAGAGAATTGGTTTGGTTTACGGGGAGGGGAAGGGGAAGAGGAAGGTGCATTCATACCCCTGAGAAGGTGGCCAGAGTCTCTGGGGCAAGATTTGCGTGTGGCTGTGTGCCATTAGCCAGGGCAGGGGTGTTGGGAGATGCTTCATTTGCATAATCAGAGGCTGTGGCCTGATAGCTGTCAGGGTAATACATTTTTCCTCGGGTTCACGGTTGGGAAGCTGGTTTTATGGCATCAGGCTGTGCAGGGGTGGGGCTGATGGTTGTAGCCAACTCCTGCCTTCCTCAGGTAAGAGGAGTTGGGGGTTGAAGCTCCCTCGACCCTTCCTCCATAACCCTGGGCCATTATGGTCCCATGGTCCTGCTCTTTGTTCTTTAAATAGTAGTGAAATGAGACGGATCCAAACTCAGCTTCTCATCTTTTACAACAGGCACATTGCCCACTGAGTCATCTCAGGTTATAGAAAAAAGATCAGCTAGTCCAAGCTCAGTGAGAGATCCTGCCTCAAAACAGGAAGATACCCAACCTCAGCTTTTGATCTTCACACATGCATGCACAGTGGTATGCATCTGCACATTTATTACACATATGTATATGTATGTACACACACACACAGGAGCACACACAACATGTGTGCTTAGTGAGATTATGAGCACATTCTTCATGGATACATACATCTGTATGTCTCATGGGGGAAGTCATAGTCACCGAGGTCATTGCTAAAGTAATCATTTGGTTTTCCTCACATCTGTTATCCACGTCTGTTTTACCACTGATTGTTAAAATATATTTTCAAGCTTATATTCCCACAGCATAATTAACAATATTTTCTATTGCCTAAAAGATTAGATTGCAACTCAACAGCCTGACACACACCAGTAATCTTGTAAGAGTTTGCTAACAATTGTTACTATATCAGTGCTTAATGCTTAGAAAAGAGGCTGGAGGACCTCCCCTATCAGTGGACTTGGGGAGGGGCATGCATGCAGGGGGGGAGGGTGGGACCGGGAGGGGAGGAGGGAGGGGCTTATGGGGGGGATACAAAATGAATAAAGTGTAATTAATAAAAGTTAAAAAAAAAGAAAATAGTTGCTGCTGCTTTCACTGTACCTTGTGGCCTGAGAGGCGTTTTACTGAGTTTGTCACTCACAAGCAGAAGATTTTTTGTCAGAAGAGACACACTTGATAGGGCTTGCTTGCATTTCAAAATCATGTACCGGCACAAACAGCTTAACAAGAAGGGGATAGCCAATCAAGATGCCTAACAGGAAGGGGGATATCCCTTAAAAACCTTAGATGAGCAATATGTGAAAACAGATGAGAACTGTGTTAAAATATGACTTGAGAGGAATAATTTGGGCGGATAAAACAAACACCAAGAGTCGCTAGAAGGTGATGTCAGAGTCTGGTGACAGCATCTTCTGTCTATGAAACTTAGTGTAACCTGGCAACAGAGATTTGCAATAGCAAAGGAAGTATGGAAGATCACTGAACGTCAGTAACACAGGGAAACTAGATTTAAAACAAAACCCTGGGTGGTGAGAAAAAAACATGGAATTTAACACATCTCTAGCACTGTTGGAACAACTTAACTTACCTGGAAATGTCAGTGAGACGAAAATTTTAAAATCTTTTAATGTTTCCGTAGACTTGACCTTGGCCTTCAGAATATAAATGTTGCCGAACTTGTTCTTGAGGTTCTGAGGGCTACCCAGGCACATGAGCTTCCCTTTCACCATTATAGATAGCCTTGTACAGAGGGCTTCACACTCTTCCATGCTTTCAAAACAAGAAAGAAGAAGAACACAAAACTAAGATGTTCCTTGAAAGACATTGTGCACTCAACAATTGCCATAATCTTGTTTTCAACCACAAGTTGCATTTTCCAATCACTAAGTTTATCATTAATAAATTTGTTGTGGTTGTCTCTCTCTCTTTCTCTCTCTCTCTCTCTCTCTCTGTGTGTGTGTGTGTGTGTGTGTGTGTGTGTGTGTTTGCTTCGTGTAGAGGCCAGAGGTCAACCTCAGGTATCATTCCTTAAGCACCATCTGCCTTGTCTTAATGGCATCTGATGTGCCATTGGCTAGGCTGCCTGATTGGTGAGGCCCAGAGACCCACTTGTTCTGTCCAGCACTGGGATTGCAAGCATGTACCACCATACCCAGCTTTAAACCTTTTTAAACCATTTATTTATTTTATGTATTTTGCTTGCATAAACGTCTATGTAGTTTGGTGTGTGTGTGTGTGTGTGTGTGTGTGTGTGTGTGTGTGTGTGTGTATGTGTGTGTGTGTGTGAGCGCGTGCCCTAGGAAGGCCAGAAGAGGGCGTTGGATTCCTTGGAACTAGAGTTACAGATGGCTATGAACTGCTATGTGGATGCTGGGAATTGAACCTGGGTCCTTTGGAAGAGCAGCTTAACTGATTTTAACTGCTGAGCCATATCTCCTCCCCTGATGCCCAGTTTTCTTATGTAGGTTCTGGGAATACAGCTCAGGTCCTCATACTTACATACCAAGCATTTTATTAGTTGATCTATCTTCACATGCCCTGAGAAGTGTATATTTTTAACAGAACACTGAATTTTAAAATGTAATATGTCTCTAACTTCTGTTCTCTCTTATTCTTCATTAAAAAAAAAAACACAATGAGGATTCTTAGCTATTCCATTTATTAAGATTAATATGAATCTTAATTCCTAAAAATTAACTCATTGCTCAATCAAATATATTTCTGCTCCCAAATAATTGATCAGTATACCTACCACAGTTCTTGCCAAACCTTAACCAAGCCTTCCAAAGAGCCACACCTGTGGGAGGTTATAATGATGGCCTTTCCACTTTCACGAGTCTTTATCACTGTGTCCCAGAGAAGACGCCTAGCTCTTGGGTCCATGCCAGTTGATGGTTCATCCAGAAAGATAACTGAAGGCTTTCCCATTGTGGCAATTGCAGTGCTCAGTCTACGTTTGTTTCCTCCACTTCAGAACAGAGAAGAGGGAAAAAAGGAAGAAGATGAAGCTGTACATATTAGCTATTTCCACCAAAGTCTCAGTGCAGATACCTCCTAGTACTTAAGAGTTCCAACAAATCCCAAATACAGACATTCTCATGCAGATTCAATATGGCTCTAGCAAGGCATCAGGACCAAGTACGTCTGTACATGCACGTACATAACACAGAAAGGTTATAAATGTGAGGTTTCACATGTGTGGTTTTGGCTCCATTTGTTTACTTGTTGTTGCTATTATGAGATATAACCCCATCCTACATTGAAGGCTTGCATTTCTCTTTGTTGCAAGATGGAATCAAAGGAATAGTAAGGAGAAAAAAACACTCTATACTCAGGTTGTTTCAGAAGCCATAGCTTAAACATAAGCAGGTTATGAACTTTTATTGTGGGAAATGTGGAACCGTTACTGGCATCTGAAACCCAGCATCATAAGATGTTATTCAACTTAGCGCTGTCAACTTGACAGGGTCTCGAATCACCCGAAAGACTCTCAGTTGAAGAATTAATTTTCCTTACCAGCTTGGTTTGTGAATCTATCTGTGAGGAATTGTCCTAATTATTAATTGATCCAAGAGGGTTCAACTAGGCAGGTGGTCCTGAACTAGATAAGAAAGTTCACTCAGCAGCATCCTGTGAGCAAGCCAGCTAGCAAACAGCATTCTCCACAAATTCTTGCTGTACACCATGACTATGAGATAATGGTGCATGGAACAGTAAGCAGTCCTGCCCAAGTCTCTGCCCTGACTTCCTTTGATGATGGACTGTGACCCGGAAGTGAAATCCAAATGAACCTCTTTCTCCCCCAAGTCACTTTTGGTCAGAGTGTTTCACTGTAGTAACAGAATGAAACTAGGACACATGGTAACACAATTGAATAATTATGTGAAAGAGACATTTAGGTGGAGCTTTGGGCACTGGGGTCAACTACGAAGAACAGAGATGCCGAGCCGTTATGAGCATTGATAACAATTAAGAAGCTATGGCATAATGACTCACCTGTAGGTTCTGATGAGATTGTTGGCATAAGGCTCCAGATCCAAGGAGTTCAACTGCTTGTTCACATAAGGCCAAATCTGATGCTCTGAGACTCCCCATATTCTTGCATACATGATCATTATTTCCCAACCAGTCATGTATTCCAGCAAAGCATCAAATTGAGGACAATAGCCAATTTTTGACCTCACCTAATTGTAATAATTGCCATACGTGAACAATCAAGCCATCTAGCACCTCATGGAAATTCATAGAAAAGGAAGGACCATGCTTCTAAGAGTCCTACCAAGATATTTCTTTTTTTTCTAAAGGACTACAAAATTATGACTTGTGAATCTATTGTGGTCAGATAGAAAGACTGATTCTCATATTCACTTCTAACTGTCATAGAGATGAAGAAGTTAAAAACAAAATCCCAGATCCCCTCAATTTGTAGGAGTGGTAAGATGATATGTCTTCCTCTTAATCATGGGTTCCAGGCAGTGTGACCAGCTTGGATACTTTCTGTATTGTTCCACCTGAACATCCCTGTCCATGCTGGTCTGTTAGTGAGGCTAAACCAACACCAAAGACAGCCCTCATCTTTGCAAATAGGAGCTCAGAAATAATGATGCTTTGGAACTCAAGTGCTATTTTTCCAGTAGGTGTACACAGCCTAGTTAGCTGGAGAAAAAGGCTATAAACTTAAATTAAGAATTTATATTGATTATAAATTAAAATATAGATTAAAATTATAAAATTAAAATTATAGATTATAAATATAGATATAAATTATAGATTATAAATATAGATATAAATTATAGATTATTCACGTTCCTTGTAGGGTTGGCATGGTGCAAGTCCCTTCCTTTCTGGCTAAAATGGCTCTTAAGGATAGTGTGTTTTTCACACATACTTGTATTTCTTCTCTTTACCTTTCTTTAGTATCCATATACAGGCTGATTCTATGCACAGGGATGGCTGGGAACAACCAAACTCCCCAGAAACAATGAATAACATCAAACAGAGATGGGGGAGACGATTATTGCCAGAGTTACCACATTATCAGTCCAGTTCTTAGCAAAAACAACAAGAATACAGCGAAATACAGAATGTGGTTCATTCACGGGAGTGGGAGTCAGAAACTCTACCAGGTGGGAAAAAGCTAGGGTGGCAAATCTGCTCAACAAAACTTTGAAATAATCAATGATAAAATAATAAAGGTGCTTGTGGAAAAAGTCATGAAAATGATTCATAACTATTAATAGAGAGATAGAAATCCAAAAAAGCAAACAGAATGGGCATGTGTTGCTGTAAGGGCAGGGTGTGGGCGGGCACGCCAAAGGTGTGGAAGTTAAAGGTTACCTCATTAGTCGATGAGTGGATTGCGAAGGAAACCATAAGGAATGTAGAACCTCTTTAGAGATGAGTGAAAATGAAAATGCAACATATCCCACTTTATGGACTTCGTAAAAGCAGAGAGAAAGAGAGAGAGAGAGAGAAAGAGAGAGAGAGAAAGAGAATTTATAATTTGATTGTCCAGCTGAGCTCATGGTTAGAGTTGTCCCCAAATTAGTGACTGGTGAGTTACTGCAGTGGACTGGGCCAAGCCACTAATAGATGGGTTGCGATTCGAAAAAGATGCACTAATAACATTCTATATTGCACTTGTAAAATACGGAAGGCACCAGTCCCTCCCTGCAAATGGTAGGAAAGGGGATGTAAGACCCTAAATGAAGGATGCTCTGAGGAGTCCATAGGAAGCTTTGTGGAACTTCACTTGGGAATGGGGCTAGTTTCCACATGGCTTACATTATGTATCACCTTTCCGTTTGAAGTAGCTACCTAAAAGTCTTCTTGGTCCTATTAAAATGGTCCTTAGCACATTGGAGGCCCTGGATTGTTTTTCTCAAGGAAAGCTTGCAACTGCATGGCTCTCCGAGTAGTCCAGGGCTCCATGCTTTCTTGATCAGGGGTAAAAAAAAAAAAAAAAAAAAACAGGGTGAAACTAGAGGACAGTTATATAATATAAACACACTACAAATTAAGAAAACAGTCTGATGTCATGGAATCTGCCTTTAGTCTAGCACTGGGGATGTGGGGGCAGGGGTCCTGATTCAAGATCATCTTTGGCTCCACAGTGAGTTATGTGAGACTCTGTCCCATACGTTCAATACAATGTTACAAAATAGAAAACAGTGCAACCATCCATGATCTGACTCAGGAGTTTAAGTAATGATCCCATGAGTTCTGGCTTTATGAAAGGTGAAGAGCTCATAGCTATCTTGCTACATGATACTTCTCTGGTATTTAAATCAGATATGCAATCTCAAATGGAGCATATTGTTGTTTGGTATTTTTCAATAGGAAGAGCTACCAGATATGAATCACAAATCTGATTGACAAATATGGTTATGAATTAGCTGGAACACTGAAGAGAGACATCTCAGTCTGCCCTTAAACACACATAATGGCTTTATTGCCTTGATTGGCAGCCTTTTTCTTCTAGTCCTCATTGATAAGACAATGCTGAAGATCAGGCTACCTTTTGTCTCTTGGCTATATGACCACTGTGGTAACCATCTCCTTTCTTCTTCAAGCAAAGACAAAAACTCCACAACAAAGAGCTCAATGTCAGAGCAAATTATAATGGTGACCCAGTTCTGTATCCCTGAAGATATGCACAGTTAGTGTGCTTGGGATCTGACCTTTATTTGGAAGAAATGTGGTTGATATGAAGTAAGATTTCATGGTGAGCAGGTGTTTTGGAAGCTGAATAGCAGTTTGGCCCTGAACATGGCAACCACATGTTGGAGGATGGTTTTGTGCACTATGTATCCAGATGCTGATTTCTGTGCTCAGAGATCTGCTTGCGGTCTGGATGTGAGCATTGTCATTATCGTCAAAGAATCTCTTGTCTCAATGTTGTGTAAAAATTGTTCTCCATCATATGTGATTTAAAATAAAGAGCTGAACAGCCAATTGCTAGACAGGAGTGTTGAGGCAGGATATGGAATATCAGGAAGAGGCTCCCAGGTGGAGGAGACAGAGAAGTAGAAGAGAAGGTCACCAGGAGGATTTGGTCACCATGAAAAGGTCACCATGAGGGAGGTGCCATGAGGACAAAGATGGATCAGGAACAGCCAGAGTGAGACTAAAATGGCAGGTAATGGGGCACATGGCTGGGGAGATAATCCAGATTAGCATAGAGAGGTTAAAATAGCTGAGAATCTGCCCACCCTGTGTTTACAGCGTATTAATAAATTTAATAGGTTTCTTTGTCATTATTTGGGAGCAAGACTGGGCATAGGAAAAAAACAAACATACTTTTATTTTTACAATCACAGTCAGTCTTCTCTAAATTCACAGATTAGTTCATCAGTCTTTCCTCTGGATGGATTTTGTTTTTTCTTCTTGAGTTCTCTTTTCTTAAAGCCCTCATTTTCTTAATTTGTTAACTTTTAGGTTTTATAATTTATAATATGTTAAAATATCAGTTCTATTTGTATTCACTAAAATATATAATCTGAAAAGATTCTAAGAATACAATTCCATTTATAACATAAGTCAATATAATAAAGTGGACAAAGAAGGTAATCAAGGGGTTTAAAAATGTTATATACGCAAAGCTATAGAGCACTTCTGAAATAAGTTAAAAGATGTATAGATAAATCATGTTCATGAATTAAGAGACTTAATATTGTTAAGAAGCCAAAAATACCTCGTATCTACAGTTGATGTAAACTCCATCAAAGTTATAATGATACATTTCCTTTCTACAAAAATAGAAAAAAAAACTATTTTAAAAGCCATTTGAAATCTTCAGGGGACCTAATTTCCTTGAAAAGGAATAAGGAAGAAGTTGAAAGACTCATTCTTCTCAAATTAAAAACTTATTGAAAAGTTACAATCAGGCAATCAAGCAAAAGGTGCTGGCAATAAAGACAGATGACTATGCCAATGCAACAGAATAAAGTGGTAGAGTAGAGCCTTAAGCCTGCCATGCTGGCTCCTACCTGTAGTCCCAGCATTCCAAAGGTGAGGAAGAAAGATTCCTGGGAGCCCCAGGCCAGTTTGGTTTACATAGAAATTTCAAGCCCCACCTTTCAAATATCTTAACTGGTTAATTATTTTGATAAGGATGCCAAGACCATCCAATAAAGAAAGGATACTCTTTCCAACAAATGGTGTTAGGAAGATGGAAGTTGGGCCTTTCATACAAAGTGGATCAAAGAGCTAAAAGAACTTTGGACTATAAAGTTCTTAGAAAAAACTATTGGGAGAGAGCTTCATTATAGTGGACATGACAACAGATTTTGGGATCTAGTAAAACAAAACAAAACAAAACAAAACAACAACAAAACTCCACAGGCAACAAAATAAAATTGTGCTTCATGAAATTAAAATCATTTGCGTACCAGAGAACAAGAGAAGGGAAATGTCAGTTCATAGAAAGGGTTAAGTATTTAGAAATAGGGATTAGTGCATAGAAGACACTAACCCTGAAGACAATGGTAGGTGATACATACCAGGCAAAAGGGAACATTCTTATATACAATACCTAAATGTAGTCAAATTCATACAATCAGAAAGTAGAACATAGGGTTCTACTTAATTGCCTGGGGTGAATGAAGGAATGGAGAATTACTCTTTAATGGGTGTAGATTTTCAGTTTGGCATAATAAAATACTAATAGAGACAAACTGTGGAAACAAGCACACAATGTCACTGAATTATAGAATTAGACAGTCATAAATGTATTGGATGGTACATTTTACATTATCTGTCACCATCAAGATAAGAAGATACGCCAAAAAATACTTTAAAGATGAAACAAATTAAATATCATCACCAGTCACATAAAACGTGAGAGATTTTCAAATGGCACATTGAAAGATTTCCCCAAGGCTTGAAAGTAATTCCTCAGATATGATTCAGAACCAATCACTGCAAGGCATCTGTGTGGTTTGTGTGTTTGGTCTCCTTTTAAATTTTACATTTTATCTGACTGTGATGTTGATTCTCAATTCAGATTTGTTCTTTGATGACAGATCACTTAATCTCTTTTGCATCCTAAGATTCCCAGTGGGCAGTTCAGGCTGCCCCACTATTTCTTCAAGGAGCCTGGTAAGTGCTGTTGACTGTAGTGAGTTTTGGTTTCTTTAAAAACCCAGTTATGTTATGTAAACACGTCTTTGTTTTAATCCCAGGTGTGGGATTGTCCACAGCAGCAGACTGTCCACAGCAGCAGACTATTTGCCTGTGTGTGCTCTGGCAGGGGGATGATTCTGCGAGCTGAAGACAATTGTGGGGACTCTAGAGATGGTATAAAGAGATCACAGCCCCAAGAGGGGAGGCACAGCTGTTCCTCCTGTTGCTGCTGTTGGATTGTTAAGTGGTTGTGAGAAGAGAGACGATGAGAGATATTGGAAATATCCTGACGAGATGAAGATTGGACTTGCCCCAAGAAACTCAACGCCCATAATCAGCAGGAAGTAGTCTAAAAAGATCTCATTGGTCCTTCTCCCCACTACCTTTCTGCCTCTCCTACCTGGTATTTGGGTGTTAGAAGGGATTAGGATGGGGAAGGGTGGTAGATATAAGAACCTAATAAAATAGATTTAAAAACTTTGTCATTCTTTCCTGCTTTAAGTTCTCACCATACTTCTTCCCAGAGTTACCCATCTTCTCCAGCTCCTGCAGCCAAGGACCAGCACAGGATACAGAGGTTGGTGGTCTTGCTTTGATTGGCAGCTGCTCTGAAAGGCCATCCTGTTGTAGAGCTCTCCATGACATGGATCAAGGCCCTGGTTGTAGCTAAACTGCCTGTAGGTCATCCTTTCTCTGCCTTACACCCTTCCAGCCCCTGTAGGGTGCATGGCTGCTATCCTGTGGTGAGCACTTGCCTTTCACTCCTACAGTTACAAAAGACACTCTTGTCATAGTTTATGCCTTTATTACCTCACTCTTTAAAAATTTATTTTCCTCTCTGGAACCCACAGCATCAACATCTGTGCTCATCACCGTTGTCATGTGTCATCGCTAGCTGCCTGCCTGCTTCCTGCCTCCTGGAGCCATCATTCTGTTCATGTCTTAGCCTGGAACAACAGCTCACCTTTCGGATGTTCTTGGTGACGCTAATGCCATCGACAAACACATTCCCAGTGGTAGGAGTCTTTTCTCCGGTCAAAATTTGGAAGGTAGTTGTTTTACCTGCTCCGTTGAATCCAAGTAATCCAAAGCACTCCCTCTCTTGGACAGCAAAGGAGACGTTTTTCACAGCCAGAATTAGTGGACACCTAAAGTATATCTTAAAAAAAAAAAAAAAAAAGCAAAGCACACGGCACAATTTAGTGAAGGATATTTGTAGTTTATCAACAAGAAATATTGTGGGCCAAGTGGTCACCCCTTCAGATAGTATCACAAAAACTTTACAGAGGAATTTTTTTTAATCTTTTTTTTTCTTTATTAATTACACTTTATTCACTTTGTATTCCCCCATGGTTCCCTCCCTCCTCCCGTCCCAATCCCTCCCTTCCTCCACCCTCTGCATGCCAGCCCCTCCCCAAGTCCACTGATAGGGGAGGACTTCTTTTCCTTCCTTCTGATCCTAGTCAATTAGGTCTCATCAGGAGTGGCTGCATTGTCGTCTTCTGTGGCCTGGTAATGCTGCTTCCCCCTCAGGGGGAGGTAACTAAAGAGCAGGCCAATCAGTTCATGTCTGAGACAGTCCCTGTTCCTATTACAATGGAACCCACTTGGATACAGAACTGCCATGGGCTACATCTGTGCAGGGGTACAGAGGAGTTTTTTGAAGATCCTGAAGAACCACACTGAGACTTTGACTCCCATAGAAGAGGCTGAAGGCAGAGTGTGAGAGCCATGGGGTGGTCTTACCTTTGTGAGCTCCTTAATAAGAACAGGAGAATTCAGAAACTTTTTAGGCTGGTGTAGAATTTCCCTTCGTTCATTTTCTACATCTTTATCTTCAGATTCCCCACATAATTCCTTGTAAATTGTATTCTGTATTTTTCAAGACAAGAATCATACACGTGAGTATCTTTTGGAGGCGTTTGTCTTAAGCATGGTGGTTTCATAAAATTTAAACTTGGGCCTAATATTACACATGTCTAAATGGATGTTTTGAGCAATTTCCCAAGGCTTTCTGAGTATGATGGCTGTGTTCACATCCAAAAGTAATGAGTAGTTCACCAAAGAAATGGAGGTGGTGAGCAGAGGTAAAAGCTGCTCACAAGGTAGAAACCACAAAAGTCTATGCTCTAATGTATAATTCAAAACTTTAAAACACTTCTGGGAATGAATGAAACTGCATTTATTTGTCTTTTGTCTTTTCTTTGGTCCTTCTCCTTTTGTTTGTATGTTTTATTCTATTCTGATTTGTTTTGTTTTATGTTATTACATTTTATTATTATCCCTTAGACACCTGATTTGTTTCTAAGGAGAGACAGAAAGGGGAGGTGGGGAGAAGCTGGGAGGAGTATAGGGAGAGAAAACTGTAGTCAGGATTATATGTCATGAAAAAATACTTTTAATACACGAAAAAAAAGCATTCAGAGAAATTTTATCTCCTGGACGTAAGGTTGGCAGTCATCCAAGGAGATTGGGGGAAGTGAAAACACAGTGATGCCGGAATGGGAAGATGGCCCAGCAGTTAAGGGCACTTATTGCTCCTGAAGAAGATCCAGGTTCAGTTCCCAAGACCTGCATGGCAACCTGCAACCACCTCTAATCCTGGTTCTAGGGAAGCTAACGCCTCTGTTTGGCTCCTGCACACATGTGGGACACATACGTGCACCCAGGCATACACATATGCATAGAGAAAAATAGCTAGATCTTTGGGCCAGATGTGGTGAGGAATGCCTTCAGTCCCAGCACTGAGGTGGCAGAGGCAACCTGATCTCTGTGGATTCAAGGTCCTGTCCACACAGTGAATTCCAGGCTAGCTGGAGCTACATAGGAGACCCTGTCTCCAAAAAGAAAATGCAGTAATACGTTTTAAAAATGTGGTACAAAAAATGCAGTACTGCATTTAAAAAATGTAATAAGCTGGGCACAGTGGTGCATACCTTTAATCTCAGCACTCAGGGAGGCAGGGGCAGGAGGGTTGCTGTGAGTTCAAGGCCAGCCTAGTCTGCAAAGTGAGTCCAGATAGCCAAGGCTATACAGAGAAACCATGTACAAAAAAAAAAGTGGTAATAAATTAACATTGAAGAACTAAAAGGGAATTAGCTGGGCATGTAGTGAACACTGGTAATCTTAGCGCCTGGGAGGTAGAGGCTGGAGAATGGATTCCAAGCTACCGTGTGCTTTTTTTAGATAGTTATGGATGAAGGTCTTTGAGGATGAACCCTCAATCACAACCATCATCTTGTAAAACCAGGAGTTATGATTATTATAAAAAAAAACACAACTAGATTTGAGTAAAATCTCATTCAGAACTTGCCAGGTCTTCAGTTGCACTGCCTGGCTTGCCTTTCACTCCAGGAAGCCACATATCTAGAGATTTGTGTGGCTTGGCTTACTCCCTTTCATGGATACCCATCTTTTCCTTGGTGTTCTTTAGCTATTCTGTCGTTACCTTCATACATCTCTCAAACCCTGCCTTCTTTGGAATGCAGTCTACTCTTTCTTATACTCCCTTTTTCTTACCCAGGTCATGTGGAAACAGCTTGTAGTTTGTCATCTTACCTAGAAGCCTATGCTATTACTTTACATTTTTGAAACAGTGTCTAAGTTACCTAGGCTGGCTTTGAACTCCCTCTGTAGCCCTGGAGTGCCTTGAACTTGCGATCCTCTTGTCTTAGCCTCGTGAGCAGGTGAGAATGTAGACCTGTGTGGTGGTTTGATGTATGTATTGTTAAATGCTCATGTTAGAATCAATGATTTAAAAGCCATGGCTTGAGGCTTGCTAGAAACAAACCAAGAAATTAACAAAGGGGAAGTAAAAACCAAAAGTGAGCAGAGCAAATGAAATCATAAAGATAAAGACCAAAACTAAATGAAAGGGAAAGTTGTTAGCAATAGATAAAATTCAGAAAGACATAGACTTTAGCCCTTCAAATGATCATCAGAATGAATGCGGTTTATTGTAGGTAATACCTCAGCCAAACTTTAAGGAAGTACATTCCTGTGATATTTTTCTCTATTAACTGAGGTAGTAATAAACAGGTGCCTACTTTCCATGCTTAATTTCAATGCTACTAGAGGCTTTTTTTTTCTTGTTCCACACTTAAGTATTTACCATCTTGTATTTCTTGAAGGTACCAAAGTAAACGTGTTGATGGATAAACATTTTTAATTTCCATGAAATATTCTCCCAAAGGAAAATGAAGAGAAGGAAAACAAAGCCTGCAATGCCCATAGCAATTAAATACTTTCCGATCATGTGGTTCTTGAACGAATAAATATTCTTCACTCTATCTGAGGATGGAAGGGAGGAAGATGAGAGCATCACACTTAATTTTATTGTGCAACACTGGTGTGAACAACTAATAAAACACCAAATAAGAAACAGGATAAAATGAAATATAAGGTTAAACTGAGACACAGTACTCAGAGCCTGAGAAGAGATTATCCTCCTATGAAAAGGTATTTTGAGAGATTGATTCTCATTGACACATTGTATAGTAACATAGTAAGAGCATAAATACCAACATGGGTGTTGACTGTCTAAGAATGGGCCCAGAGGACAAACCCCAGAGAGTCCTGTTTCTCCACCTTGCCAGCACTGAGATTCCAAGCATATGCCAGCAGCCTATGTGGGTTTGGGGAACTGAACTCACATTCTTATGCTTGTAATGACAGGCACTTTAAGGACTGAATGATCTCCCGGCCTAATAATGGAAGTGCATACTTTAAAAAAATAATTACAATGAGGACTCTCTGTGCCCTGTACCCAGTCCCCTTTGTCATTCGCCAGGTATGGTGGTATGATGCCCATTATCATGAGTGGACAGATATGAATACCTTATTATTAGAGTACCCATTTCATTCACATTTCCTAGCTTTTAATGCAATGTTCCCTTCCTGTTCCATGTTCCGGGCTCTAGAACATCACACTTAGTAATCATCCCATGCATTTTATTGGCTGTGATCATATTCACATTCATGATTATAGGGGTGTTGTGGTCTTTGGAGAGAAAGCCCACAGAAAACAGGCAGAGCAAGCCATGGGGAGCAAGCCAGTAAGCAGCACCCTCCATGGCCTCTGCACCAGCTCTTGTCTCCAGGTTTCTGCCCTGTTTGAGTTTCTGCCCTGAATTCCTTCAATGATGGACAGCTATGTGGAAGTGTAAATAGAACCCCCCCCCCCAGTTTGCTTTTGGTCATGGTGTTTCATCACAGCAATAGTAACTGTAACTAGAACACTAAGAATGAGAATTTTCTCAAACAAATAATACACCAAACCATAAATCCTGCAAGTTTAGGCAATCTAAGCAGGAGAAATGTTGATTCCCCTAAGCTACACCGAGATAAGATAGTCATGAAAGAGAATAAATATATAGTTTAACAACTCTTCTTATGGTCTTAGACACTTAATTTCCCAACACAGAACATAATAAAACACAAAAGTCAATAACTCAGAAAACAAACACCAAAATGAATCAGTAAAATTAAAAGCTTATTTTTCTGAAAAGATGAATGAAATTGGTAGATCTTCTCAGGATTGATCAAGAATGAAGAGAAGAGCCAGTGAGATGACTGATGGAATAAAAGCACTTGCCACCAAAGATTACAATCTGAGTTTGACCCCAGGGTTTACTTTGTGAAGTAAAGAACTGATTATTATATGTGTTATAAGCTGTTTTCTGACCTCTGTATGGTGCCCCCCCACCGTATGCGCACACACATACATACATACACACAGAAAGAAAAGGGGCAAAAGGGAAGGATAGTATGAATGCAAATGATGATACACAGAAAAAAAATGAGGATACAGTCATGAACCGTACAGATGCTAAAGCTATCATAAAGTATTCTGAACAAATTTACCCCAATAAAATTGAAAATTTAGAATGGATGAAATGATCCCACAAAACAATGATAAATTCTTCCCTCAATGTTTTAAATAACCAAAGCACAAGAGCAAAGGATGAAGTCTTTATTTTCAAAATAATCAAGAAATTAAAACCCTTATAACATAACAACCTCAGGTAATACAGCTTTTTCCATAAAACTCTTCAGTGAAAATGCAGGGGTAATTGTGAGCTGTAATGAAGCTGTTTTGCTGTAACACCTAAACCTCAGGAACATTCACTGAAACAGTAGACAAGCCAGGTTTCATCTGCATTGTAATTTTACTATGCTTGCTTTTGCCACACCACTGTCCTATGTAATTGCATCAAAACTATTGGGTATCAAAGAAGAGGGAGAAGCAGATCACAGAACTGAAGAAAATGTTTGCACATCATATATGAAAGGAACTCCTGGTGTCCAGAGTATATAAAAACAAGTGGCCTGACTATGGGCAAAAACCTTTTTAATGGAAGAAAAGATACCTGCATGGGAAATGGGCACATGGAAAGAGGCTGACGTCACTAAACATTAGGGAAAGGCAAATCAAAACCAAAACAAGTTGCGGCACCTGCTAAGGTGGCCATGATAAACAGAAAGGAAAATAACAAGTATTGGATGGGGGTATAAAAAAACAAATCTTCATACGTTGCTGCATAAAAACATTACCAGATTCTACCAAGACCCAACCATACCAATGCCTAATGTTTATTTTCAGCACAGTTGGGCCAGTTGGAGTACTAGGCTTCTCTGAGGCCACACATAATTATTTTAGAGAGGACCAAGCTTATTGAACACTCTTTCCCTTCCCACACATCTCAATCTTCCCACAAAAATAAAGACATTTCAGGAATTACTTAATGAGTGATACATTCCACCATGAGGGATTCCCAAGAGTCACTCTATGCTTTCCTTTACCACAAACCTTCAGGTTTCTTTCTTTCTTTACTTTTTCTCTTGCTTTTGTTTCTGTTTTTTTCCCCCTCCTATATTGCACTGATTTCTCACATGCAAACTGCTACTGCCTACTTTAATTTACTTAAGAAAAAAAGTGTTGAGTCCTTCATGTACCAGGTACTCCATTAAGACACTAGGGGTGGGGTTTGCCGGTTTCTTCAAATAAGTTGTGGGTAGGTGAGGTATAACAAAAGCAAGGGCAATGCAGTTATGATACAAATCTTTCCCCTGGACGCTCTGTCACCCTACGGATATTCTTTTTTTAATTTTTATTTTTAATATTAGTTACAGTTTATTAACTTTGTATCCCAGCTGTGTCCCACTCCCTCATTCCCTCCCAGTTCCACCCTTCCTCCCTTATCTCCTCCTTGCCCCTTTCCAAGTCCACTGATAGGAGAGGTTCTCCTCCCCTTCCATCTGACCCTGGTTTATCAGGTATCTTCAGGCCTGGCTGCAAAGTCCTCCTCTGTGGCCTAGCAAGACTGCTCGTCCCTCGAGGGTGAGGAGGAAAGGTAAAAGAGCCTGCCATTGAGTTCATGTCAGAAATAGTTCCTGTTTCCCATTACTAGAGTACCCACTTGGATACTGAGCCACCATGGGCTACATCTGGGCAGAGGTTCTAGATTATATCCATACATGGTCCTTGGTTGGAGAAACAGTCTCATAAAAGACCCCTGTGCCCAGATATATTTGGTCCTTGTGGAGCCCCTTTTCTCTCCAGGTCATACTAACTCCTCCTTCTTTCATATGATTCCCTGTACTCTGCCCGAAGGTTTGGTTATGAGTCTCAGTATCTGCTTTGATACACTGCTAGGTAGAGTCTTTCAGAGGCCCTGCTAGGTAGAGTCTTTCAGAGGCCCTCTGTGGTAGGCTCCTGTCCTGTTACTTGTTTTCTCCTACATCCAATGTCCATCCCATTTGTCTTTCTAAGTGAGGATTGATCATCTTACCCCTGGTCCTCTTTCTTGTTTATCTTCTTTAGGTGTATAGATTTCAGTATGTTTATCATATCTTATAGGTCTATATAAGTGAGTATATACCGTGTTTGTCTTTCTCCTTCTGGGATACCTCACTCAGAATGATTTTTTTCTAGATCCCACCATTTGCCTGCAAACTTTATGATTTCCTTGTTTTTAATTGCTGAGTAGTATTCCATTGTGTAAAAGCACCACAATTTCTGTATCCATTCCTCTGTTGATGGACATCTGGGTTTTTTCCAGGTTCTGGCTATTACAAATAAAGCTGCTACAAACATGGTTGGACAAATGTCCTTGTTGTGTACTTGAACATCTTTTGGATATATGCCCAGGAGTGGTATAGCTGGATCTTGAGGAAGCACTATTCCTAATTGTCCAAGAAAGCGCCAGATTGATTTCCAAAGTGGTTGTACAAGTTTACATTCCCACCAGCAATGGAGGAGGGTTCTCTTTCTCCACAACCTCTCCAGCACGTGTTGTCACTTGAGTTTTTTATCTTAGCCATTTTGATGGGTGTATGGTGAAATCTCAGGGTCATTTTGATTTGCTTCTCTCTGATGGCTAAGGACGTTGAGCATCTCTTTAAGTGTTTCTCTGCCATTCTATATTCCTCTACAGAGAATTCTCTGTTTAGCTCTGTACCCCATTTTTTAATTGGATTGTTTGATTTATTGCTCTTTAACTTCTTGAGTTCTTTATATATTCTGGATATCAGCCCTCTGTCAGATATAGGGTTGGTGAAGATCCTTTCCCAGTCTGTAGGCTGTAATTTTCTTCTGTTGATAGTATCCCTTGCTTTACAGAAGCTTTTCAGTTTCATGAGTTCCCATTTATTGATTGTTGCTCTTAGAGCCTGTGCTGTTGGTGTTCTGTTCAGGAAGTTGTCTCTTGTGCCAATGAGTTCTAGGCTCTTCCCCCCCTTTTTCTTCTAACTGATTTTGTGTGTCTGGTTTTATGTTGAGGTCTTTGATCCACTTGGACTTTAGTTTTATGCAGGGTGATAGATATGGATCTATTTTCATTTTTCTGCATGTAGACATCCAGTTGGACCAACACCATTTGTTGAAGATGCTGTCTTTTTTCTATTGAATGGTTTTGGCTTCTTTGTAAAAAATCAAGCATTCATAGGTGTGTGGGTTTATTTCTGGGTCTTCTATTCGGTTCCATTGATCCTCCTTTCTGTTTCTATGCCAATACCATGCGGTTTTTATTACTATTGCTCTATCTACATATATTCTGGTCCATTAAAGCTGTGTGACAGGGGCTAGGAGATGGACTGCTCAGTGGATAACACAATTGCCATGCAAACGTGCTGGAGTTTAAATCCCTACCACACATGCAGATGTCCAGCAGGCATGGTGCTGTGCCTCCAATCTCAGCAGTGGTGAGACAGAGATAGGGGGCAAACAGGCTATATAGACTAGCCAAACTGATAAGCTCTGTGCTTAGAATGAACCCCTGCCTTATTAAACCATGTGGGAAGTGACCCAGGAAGACACCCAATGGCAACCTCAGGCCTCTACTCACACATTAACATGAAAATATACACTCACACATGTAGATATACAAATGCAAAAAAAAAAAAAAAAGGCTGTGTTACATGGGCAGAAAGCCAGTTTTCTTAAATGGAATTAAAAAAAAAAACTTATAACTTGAGATTGTTGTGAACATAGAAAGTTCACAGACAGCTGAATATTAGTAAATGTTCTCTTTCTGTGTGATCTCATGACTTTAAGTTCAACCTTGGATTAGGTTTTGATAACCATATTCATTGCCCTCATTTTACTACTGCTGTTCAGCACACCTAGGGCTGTATGCATACCAGAAATTCATGCTGTCACCGAGTTACAGCCACAGCCTTCTTTTCATTTTGTGACAGAGTCTTGCTAAGTTGACCAAGATAACCTTGAACTTGAGACCCCCTACATCAGTATTGAAGCAGTTACAGGCCTGCCTTGTGAAAATGATTTGTGTATTAAGAACTTTCATTTGAAAGGTAAGTGGGTTCATTCCACTGGCCCTGCTCTGGGCATCTGATTACTTAGACACTTAGAGATCCCCGATGTACTTACTTTTTTTGCCACACCTCAGGTATTTGGAAACATTCTTTTGCTGACTGCATATTATTTCCCTCCGGTAAATAACAGTGTAATCGCTGATGCACTTCCCAAGGTTGTATGTGGGAAAGAGCAGCAGTGCGTTGAGCAGGAAGGTTTGGGTAGAGTGAGACAGGATGGTTGATACTTCTAAGAGGGTAATAAGAACAAGTTATGTCAGAAGAAATGAGCCATCACCAAGATAGGAGGTCCCCTAGAAATGATCAAACTATGCCCAGGGATCAAAACACAGGTGAGTGTCTCTCAGCAACAGCTCGTTACTTGCTGATAGGTTTTGGCATAGTTTACTGCCAGAGTTTGTGCTGATGATGACAGAATTCTGAAGTCTTTTTGGTGGAGTAGAGCTGTGGCCTCTATTTCTTATGTGAAAAGAATTTTAACCATGTGCTTGCTGTTTACAGTGCATTTTAAATTTCTCTACCTTTTCTGAAAATCTAGTTTAGTACATTGCAGCTTGGGCAGGTTTTCATGTTTGTTGGCCCAAGCTTGTCGTATGGATAAGGACATTTTCTCTTTTCTCTCGTTTTATTCTTTGCCCTTTCCTTTCCTTTTCTTTTTCCCTTCCCCCCTTTTCTTTTCCTCTTTTCCCTCTTTTCCTTCCCTTCCCTTCCCTTTTCTTTGTTCTGTTGTTTCTTATCCTTCTTCCTTCCTTCCTTCCTTCCTTCCTTCCTTCCTTCCTTCCTTCCTTCTCTCTCTCTTTCTCCCTTTTTTCTTTTTTTCAAGACAGGGTTTTCCTGTGTAGCCCTGGCTGTCCTGGATTTGCTTTGTAGACCAGGCTGGCCTCAAACTCACAGAGATCTTCCTGCCTCTATCTCCCCAAGTGCTGGGCTTACAGGCATGAGCCTCTGCACTCTGCTTCTTCCCTCCTTTCTTTTAGGATATTTTCAGTGCTGTTCAATGCTCTTAACGACTTTCATTTTACTTTTCTGTTGACTATTTTTCACTTCATCATCTCCCCTTCTTTTTCTTCCTTCTGTACTGGACACATTTGTGCTTTACACTCTAAAGTGATCCTTTAGCAGTGACATTGGACATTCAGACACACTGCTTTTTGGTTCACTCCCGGGCTGCAGCTGGGGTTGGGGGCTGCAGGGTTTTTGTTTGTGTTTTTGTTTTAGCCTGAAGGTCCTGCAGTCTTACCTGCTGGAATCAGGTGAGGGAAGTTTCAGAGACTAAAGATTCTGTCTGTGAACAAATCTGGAAATTCTAAAATTTCCAAACACTAATTCTTTGTCTTCTACAATTTTTTTTTTCTAAATTTTGTTTGGCTACCTATTAGACCTTCCCTAATGATTTTTAAAATGTCATATTTTGTTGTTTCTATGTCATGAGCTATCTTAAGTATATTTTGTATTAATTTTTAATCTACTACTTTTCACTTTAACTATGATATTTTAAAACTTTAATCTACAGAAGCTGTTTCAGCCTTATTTTTAATTGACGTGTAATAAGTGTATACATTTATGGAATAATATATGCTGTTATGGTAGATGTACAGATTGGGAAGTGATCAGATAAGAAGAGTGCACCTGTCACACTAGTTTCATTGGTGACATTATCTAAAATAATGTCTTTTAGGTATTTAAGTATACATACTATTATGAAAATAATCACCTTGATGTACAGTGTAACCCCAGAATGTATTCCCCCTGCCTAACCGCACTGTGGGTTTATTTTCATCTAAAGGCTTTAGTTGTAAACGCTTTGGAAAGCTATTTGTTTATAATTCTAAGATACTCTGTTCCTGTGTGCGCACTACATATGTATTTTAATGTGTATACTATATATTTAAGTTTGAAGCATATTCAACTTTGGTTCTGATACTACATTATCTTCTTTGGGGGATGGAGAGGTGGCTTAGCAGTTAGGAGCACTGACTAATCTTGCAGAGGACCTGAGTTCAGTTCTCAGCACCCACACAGCGACTTACACCCCTGTATATCTCCAGTTCCAGGGTATTTGATGCTATTCTTTGGTCTCCAGGGACAGCTGTATGCACATAGTATACACACAGACAACCCGGCACACATACACAAAAAGAAAAGCAGGTAAAAATATTAAAATCTTATTTTATATAGAATTTAAGTATGAGATTATTAGAAATCCAGGGAACTTGTATATGTTTTTACTGCTCACCTGGAACCACAGCCAGATGAAATCATTTATAACAAGCTATCAAATTTTCCTCATGCTTACTATACTTTTAGAATAAAATGTATGTGAGCCCTTACAAATTCTTAAGGGAAATATTTACTTTTGCATCTATTCAGGTCAAATAATCCTGAGTTTTCTAAAAATGGGTATATAATGTCCATGTAGTTACCAGCCATATGAAGTCTAACGGAAATGCCAAAGTACACAGTAAAGAAATTAAAAAAAGAAAGAAAGAAAGAAAGAAAGAAAAAAAGAAAGAAAGAAAGAAAGAAAGAAAGAAAGAAAGAAAGAAAGAAAGAAAGAAAGAAAAAGAAACAGCATTTCAACAAACGGTGCTAGGAAAAATGAAAGTCTACATGTGAAAAAAATGAACATAGATCTGTTATCTCTCACCCTGCATCTAAATCAATTCCAATGTGGGTTCCCTACTAAGGGGAGCAGGGCTGTCTCTGACATGGACTCAGTGGCTGGCTCTTTGATAATTTCTTCCTGGGGGGAGGGAGGGGAGAACAGTTTGCCAGGCCACAGGGGAAGACAATGCAGCCAGTCCTGATGAGACCTGATAGGCTAGGGTCAGATAGTAGGGGAGGAGGTCCTCCGCATCAGTGAACTAGGGGAGGGGCATGGGAGGAGAAGAGGGAGGGAGAGCGGGACTGGGAGAAGAATACAGCCTGGATACAAAGCAAATAAATTGTAAAACAAACAAACAAACAAAAAACTCAATGTAGAACCCAGAACTCTGAGCTTACTCTAGAATCCTTGAGTCTAAGCTATAGGAAGTGGGAGAGAGGTCCTACTAAGGACCTGAAGCTCAAGCTGGGTCACAGCTTCTTAATACAAGGCTTCTTTTCTGGGTGGAGCATGCAGTTAGATCATACTAGAAACTGGAGGCTGTTTCGATATATCTGATACAGGTATAGCCAAAACCCTAGCCTTAACTGTCTACTGATGTCCATCTTTTGGGGCCCATTGCTGCCACTGATTTATATATTGCCTCCTCTGGGGAAGGGGACATTTTGTGATGTCCTCACACTTACTGGCTTCTATTAATGTATCTATCAAGATACTGAAGATACCAGTGACATAATAGAACATGATAAGCTTGATGTAGGCAGAGGTGCTTTTAGAAAACAGGAAGCTCATCAGGTATGTGAGGGGAATGGCGGACCATCCGAACAGCATGAGGATCAGCATGGTTTCCAGAATGTGATAGTCTGTGATGTAAATATCAAGTTGGCAGTATTTGAACACAATCTGAAACAGAGGGTACAGAGACGAAGGTGAGGCCGGGGTCTCTCTCTCTCTCTTTCTCTCTCTCACACACACACTCATATGTGCTAAGCCAAAACACTAAAAAAAAAAAAAATACCACAGCTTTCATTTTCTTTAGAAGTCTCCATTAATTAAGGAAGTCTACCTCTTTGAAATAGAATCTACAGCTTATGAGCATAAAGTTCAATTGTTCAATTCAGGTGCATCTCTATCTTCACTAGAGGACCCTCCAGCAAACAGAACCATAGTCTTCGAAGCACTGTGCGTTCTTCAGAACCAAGTGTTCTTCTCAGTAGCCATACACAGAGCAGGTAGAGCCTCATACTAACGGTACTCACCAGTAGTAGGCAGCAAGAAATGAAGAAGGTTATGAGGTCAAACAGTAGAGCAGACAGCCAGTACACAACGACAGAGACCCCACTCAGAAACTGCAGGTGCTTCGCCCTGGTGGTTCTCTCAGTCACTGTGAGGAGGCAAAAACCACTGACCAAAAGTGCCATGCCCAGCTGAATCTTTAAGGCGATCACCTTTCCATCTGCGCTTCTACAGAAGAAGGAACGAAAAGAAGATACATCAGAAGATACGCATTTCCATCAGTGGCTATTTTTATTGCGGAAATAAAGTTGGGTAGGGTGGAAAGAATGCATTTCAAGTGCAAAAGTAAGACAAACAAACAAACAAATAAACAAAACAGGAAAAACCATACCCTAGACTCTCTTTATCTCGGAGGTGTGACTGTGGTTTATTGTAGACTGTTATGGAAGCATCAGTACCGGAAAGTGACATGAAAAGGATGTTGTCTAAAACAGCCAGGGACAGAGATGGTGAATGGTATGCTTCATTGTTGAACAGAACGGTAAGCCTCGTTTTGTTTGCAACCACCTTGATGGAAAGTGCAATGATACATACATCAACACATTCTTCATTTCTCTCCAAGTACTTGAGTAGGTCACCTAGGGCAAAGGCACAGCACTGGTCAGCGGCTCCACCACATTGATCATGCCAGTGTCTGTCATTCAAGAACAAATAACTGTGTTTCTCACTACTTCAGATTTTGTCGAGGTAATTGTTTCAAGCATTTGCTGTTACCGCTGAGACTTTTACTCCGTCATTAAATTCTGGGATTTCTCATTGTATTTAACATAACCCAAATTACAGTTTTGCTGAGAAAACACAGCCCTATGAATTCCTTCAACTCACCTGTCTTTAATAGATTAGAAAGAAGTTCCACTCACATCACAGAGCTCACGAAACCCTCCTCTGGTAAAATGGAAACACTAGGTAAAAGATTTCTTTAAAATCACCTTTTGAGGTTACTGCAGAGCTAGAAAACAACAATGTTTTTGGTCAAGACCCTGAGAAGAATAAAAGCATGGAAGGGAGCCCAACATTCCTGCTCCCTTCTAAGTGGTAGGAAAGCCCTGGGAGTCTCCAGACTCTCAGTGCAGCCCAAGAACATCATACGCTGCACAGTAGTGAGGAGGAGACGGACAGAGCCCTATACAAATGTCATCCAGCCTCTAATAAGGCCCTACACAGCTGCACAGTGGGCTGAATGATGCCCACCCACATGGCATTCAGCTTGCAAATCATTTCACTATGTCTGCTGATTGCAACAGTGAATTATTCTGGAAATGCCCTGACAGGCACGCTTGGAAATGCATTTTACCAGCTGTGGGTGCATCCCTTAACCCAATCAAACTGACATCAAAGTAACCATAAGGTATGTTTATGCTCATTCACAATAGCACTTCATCATCTTCATCATTTTCAAACAACTCATCTTCTATTCACTAATCCACTTCTTAGTCTATTTTTTTACAAGCTAGAATTACTTTACCATCAAATAAATACAAATATAACATATAAAGGATTATGCACCCTGAGAAGTGGAATCTATGTCAAAAGTATAATGCAGGCAGAGTTGAATGCCAAGCTCTGCCATGACAGGGTAAGTAAGTCCTTCGTAAGTCCTGTTTTACAGTTATGTCTGCCAAATATACTGGGTCAGAAGGCCAAAGATGATGCTCCAATGTTATGGAATGAGAAGGGCTACTGCCGAGACAGTAAACTGTCTCCGTCATCTCTTAGTTTTGGAAGCTGCTTGCCTACACTTCTTACTTAAGTAACAATTTTATTCCTTCTCAAGTCTCTGATGGGGTTGAAGACTAGACAGTTATAGTTTCAGTTAGGCTTAAGTTGGTTAGGGTTTAAGAAAATGTTTTAAAGCCTAGAAAGATGTTTTTTTAATTTTTTTTTAAATTTTATTTATTTATTTATTTATTTTCTTTTTTTTAAATTAATTACACTTTATTCATTTTGTATCCCCCCATAAGCCCCTCCCTCCTCCCCTGCCGATCCCACCCTCCCTCCCCTTTCTGCATGCGTGCCACTCCCCAAGTCCACTGATAGGGGAGGTTCTCCTCTTCTTTCTGATCTTAGTCTATCAGTTCTCATCAAAAGTGGCTGCATTGTCCTCTACTGTGGCCTGGTAAGGCTGCTCCCCCCTCAGGGGGAAGTGATCAACGAGCAGGCCAATCAGATTATGTCAGAGGCAGTCCCTCTTCCCATTACTATGTAACCCACTTGGACACTGAACTGCCATGGGCTACACCTTAAATTTTATTTTTAATTACACTTTATTTACTTTGTATCTCCCCTCTAGTTCTCTCCCTCCTCCCCTCCCAATCCCTCCTTTCCTCCTCCTTCTCCACGCATGCCCCTCCCCAAGTCCACTGGTAGGGGAGGGTTTCTTTTTCTTCCTTCTGATCCTAGTCTGTTAGGTCTCATCAGGAGTGGCTGCATTGTCTTCCTCTGTGGCCTGGTAAGGCTGCTCCCTCTTCAGGGGAAGGTGATCAAAGAGCAGGCCAATCAGTTCATGTCAGAAGAAGTCCCTGTTCCCATTACTATGGAACCCACTTGGACACTGAACTGCCATGGGCTACATCTGTGCAGGGGTTCTAGGTTATCTCCATGCATGGTACTTGCAACCCAGATGCCCCTCAACTGAAGAATGGATAGAGAAATTGTGGTGCATCTACACAATGGAATATTATTCAGCAATGAAAAATAAGGAAATCATGAAATTTGCAGGTAAATGGTGGGAACTGGAAAGGATCATCCTGAGTGAGCTGTCCCAGAAGCAGAAAGACACACACGGTATATACTCACTCATATAGACATATAACATAGGATAAACCTACTAAAATCTGTACATCTAAAAAACTAATCTAGAGGGAGGTCTCTGGCTAAAATGCTCAATCCCCATGGTGGAAGGCAAAGAGGATGGACATCAGAAGAAAAAGAAAACAGGAAACAAGTTAGGAGCCTCCCACAGAGGGCCTCTGAAAGACTCTGCCCTGCAGACCATCAAAGCAGATGCTGAGACTTATAGCCAAACTTTGGACAGAATGCAGGGAATCTTATGAAGAAATGGGAAATAGTAAGATCTGGAGAAGACAGGAGATCCACAAGGAGAGCAACAGAACCAAAAAATTTGAACACAGGGGTCTTTCCTGAGACTCATACTCCAACCAAGTAGAAAGATGTTTTTAAGTTGATAAGTACAAGATATGACAGAGGATGATTTAGGTACAAAACTTTAGGCTCACCTAGGTAAGATAAATAGTATTTTCTTCAGGGTCACCAAATATAAATGTGCTTTGAATGTAAAACTTTGAATGTAACTTTTGTATATAGCTTTTCTGATAGTTTCATAACTGTTCTTACTTTATGTAGTTTATTAGGAATAAATAAAGTCCATATGCAGAAAAGAACATACTCTACATTCATACAGTTAAAGGAAAAATGTTTGTGAGTCTTTGGTTTAGGAAATGATATTTGGGGATTTATATATTAAAATAAAGTCCATATGCAAAAAAAAAGAGAGAATATATTCTATATTAAAACAGTTAAAGGAAAGGGGTTTGTGAGTTTTTTGGCTTAGGAAGTGATGCTTGGGGATTTAGATATATTTAACCTGATTTAAATAATGTAAGTGTATGCATGCATCAAGATATTACATGGTAATAGGTACAATTTTTACATTTGCAGTTAAAAAATAAATTCAATTTTTAAAAAGAAAAATATATAAGACTGATTCAGTATATGAAAATAAATGCTACACATGGTGTCAATAGCCTAATCAAAACTACATACTCAAGGAAATGTATGACGTGAAAAGTTTAAGGTACAGAAGAACCAGGTCACTTACAAAATATTGCTGTTGGAAATGTAAAACTGCAGAGTTCTCTTGAAAGTAGCTAGTTTCTCATAGAATTATACATGCAATTATCGTGTAAGAAAGAGAAAGGGAGATGTACACTCACATAAAAACAGCACCTCTGCCTAAGCTGCGCTTACTGGGAAAACTTTAGATGTCTTTAAATGAGTGAACGGTTAAATAAACTGTGGTGTGCCCTTGTCGTTAGCGGTTAAAGAGACCCATGCTGGGCACACACAATTATCGGAAAACCACACTCAGTGAAAATGTCCACTCCAAAATATTACACACTGCGTGATTCCATGTGTATATTACTCTTGGAATTATCAGTTTATAGTGGCAGAATGGAGACTAGTAGTTTCCAGGGAGGGGGACAGGAGTGGACAGGAAGTTGGTATGGCACTAAGGGAAACAGGAGGGAAAATCGTGGTGGAAATGTTCTTTATGCTAACTGTATTTCTATCCTTTGATTCTGTTCTCACACTGTAGCCTCTCTAAGAGGCTCCCATCAAGGCACAAGGCCTCAAGGTTTTGTAAGCCTCCACAAACCACAAAATGAAAATGTAAGCAAAACAATACAGCTAAACGGTGCTTATTCTGACTCTCCTCCACATATAATGAGAATAAAATATGTGCAGTCCGCTTAAGATGCACCTTCCTCTGGCCGTATTATTCTTGTCCCTTTGCCTGGGCTGCCACCAAAACTCCGCAGCTGACTTGACTGTAGCCTCTCCCCTTTTCAAGGCTTTCCCTACGTCTCTTATCAGAAGATCGTGTTGAACTGTGTGCTTGTTGGGTGGTAAGAACTGGGTTAGGACATAGAGACATAAAGGAGGTTCTCATCGCCCCATCTCTGTTGAGAGGCTGACGAATAATTCGCAGTCGTGATTCGGTGAAGCCCACAAATGAGACAGGCCTCTAAATGTATGAAGAGGGGGCAGTTTTGTTCTGCCTGAAAGGCTACTGTGGTTCTAAAACACCCTTCCAGAGTTCTCCGTCACCCAATTTATGGTGCATCTTGAACTGTTTACAATGCCTCATTGCTCCCAGATTTGACAGGAAATCAGAGTCTCAGTGCAAGGCATGGGCACATCTAGGATTACCTGCAAGCTACTGGGCAGGCGAGGCCCCAGAGGGCTCCGAAATAACACAGGCTATTACCATCGCCCTTGGTTACCTGCCATAACTTCACAGTAAGTAAGACCTTATCACTGAAAGTGTGACACGTCTGACTACAGGACAGGGAAAAATGAATCCCTGCTGAACCAGGACACCTCCTACCTACCGGCTAACCTTTACTTGGATGATGCGGTAGAGACCGCCGGAAGAGAAAAAGACATTAATGGTCTAACCCAGCCCTGGGCATGTTTTAAGTGACCCAGCAGGTAAGATGTGGTCACGGGTACAATGGCGACGTAATCATCATGCGGTAGCGAATGACTTTAGGGTTGAATTTGAGATCTGCTCCACGGGAGGGAATTTTGTGCACGGCGCCAAATTACTGGTCAAAAGCCCACGGAGAGGGAGGTCAAAGGTCCTGCTCTTGTTATTTTGCTAAATGGCCATACTGTCAAATTGATGTCTAAATGTTTGTGTTTATACCAATAGACCTAAGCTCACTCAACCATGATGGGAGAAGCTTCTTCCCCATCCCACTCACCCTATCCCCCAGTGGGCACCAGTCGATGAAAAGATGCATAACTGGTAACTGTACCGAAAATAAGAGACTGTAGTTTCTCTAGAGGGCAGAAAATGACTCTTGGAGTGTGTGGTACCGGCAGGCTTCCCACGCTTCCATGGGTGGTTCCACACATGCACACATGCGCTAATTGACTTGGTGGGTTATAAGGAAAATATTGTGAGAGGTACATGTTGGGAGAATGTGGGAGGCAGTGGAAGGGGAAAACAGGTGATATATATATATATATATATATATATATATATATATATATATATAT